CAGCAACATACTGTTCGAGCTTATTGCTCGTACTATGTAGCAGCTTTCGTCAAACGTTCCTCCTGTCTTGACAGTAGGTGCGCATATCTGACAGCAGTAGGTGTACTACTTTATTTTAAGAATTCTTTAAAGCTAGCTTTTTTTAGTAAACTAATATATTTTATTATACTAGTTTTTATTACTTTACTAAGTTAAAAGCTTTATTATCTTTTTTTTTAGTTTTATCTTAAAGCAGTACACTATTTAATGCCTATTTAAAAAAGTACTTAGCTAACACTAGTTTTAATAACAAAGTAGCTTTTATTATAAAGTAAAATAACTTTTAGCTATTAAATAAAAAGCTAAGGCTTAAAAAAGTAAAGTATTATGTAAAGCATAAAAGCTAGCTTTATAGAAACTAGCAGCTCTTCTAGATTTAGCAGCATAAAGTAGATTTAGTGTATAATAATAATAAAAATAGCTTTAAAGTAAAGCTATAGCTCTATAAAAAGTGTTACACTAAAAGTGTTTATAAAAAAGTAAAAAAAGTTAATAGTTACTGTCTGTACGTAGCAGCAGCGTCGCGGCCTGGATACGAACGATCGCGCACGAGCAGGATCACGTATCTATGTCACATGATGCTCGTGCGCGAACCTCTGTGCGCGAACATCTAGATATCCCCCTTTTCCTCTGTACAGAGGAAAGACAAGAGCAATAGAACTAGAAACATGTTGCCCTTACCTTACCTACCTTGTACGCTGTGCACACTGTACACTACTCTTACTCTTGCTACTTAAGTGCTTATACTATAAGCAGCTAGCTATTAGAGCTTATTTAACACTAATTAGTAGTTAATTTAATTAACTGCAAATTAGCAAAAGTAATAATAAAGTACTTACACTTTATAAGGTACTTTATTTTATTACTTATTTCTTAGAAAGAGTAATAGCAGAGTACCTACACTTTATAAAGTACTTTGTTTAGTTACTTATCTTTTAGAATAGCAGATTAATCCTTTGCATTGTACAGCAAGCTCTGCTACTATACAAAGTAAAAAGAAGATAGTGTAAGACGCACACTAAAGCTACTAAAGCTGCATAACCTAGTAGCTAGACAATAGCATATTAATTTTTTACATTACACAGCAAGCTCTGCTACTGTATAAAGTAAGAAGGAGATAGTGTAAGGCGCACACTAAAGCTATTAAAGCTGCATAACCTAGTA